CTTTCCCAGGTCTGTGGATTCGTTATGGGAAATGTGGACGTTTTTCTCAGTGGCTTTGATTGGAACAAACAAAGTTTCGTTGCTGTCTCTGTGGATTGTTTCCTGGCTGTGCTGTGGAACCGGCTGCTTGCGGCAGCACCGCTCTCACCCGGATTTCTTGCTTTCTTCAGCTTCCCCTCCCGTGTCTTGATTTCTTTACTCCCGTAGATTTTTAGGGAATTTCCTTGGAAGCATCTTGGTCCCTTCCAAAGCTGCCCATACACATTCCAGGCTGGGGTCTGTGCCACTGCAGTGCCATGACAGCCGCTGTCCGGAACAGGGCTGTCTACGGGCACGGCGCACTCGCAGAGAGGTGGCCCCGCACCGGCTGTGACAGGCCTCTGCAGAAGCAGGTTCTCCCGACCTCCTGTTGCACCTTTGCCTGGAAGGGACGCTGGGTGAGGCTGTGCTGTATTTCAGGCCGGGGACAGAACTCTGATACCCAGGTATCTGTGAATGCCGGTCTGCACTCGGAAGCCTCCCTGTTGGATGCAGCAAAACGGAGCTTAAGCGTGACAGCGAGCCCATACTGTGCCCACCTGTGGGTATCCCACTCCTCAGGCAGGCACGTTGGGTTGGACGTGTAGGCAACAGGGGCTGTGCCGATGCTAGCCTGATGTCTGCTTCACTTTCCAAAATGCTTACTACGTGTCGTTTATTTAATCGAGAAAATCTTCTATGAAATCCAACGTATTGATATATTAAACATCGTATTAACCACGCCTATATGCAGTGTTCCTAAATTATAACCAGGGAGCTCCAAACCCATCACAGTGTCTCAGCTGTAGGAGGACACAGAGAGCAGTACCATGCGTGGTAGGCAAGAACGGCAGTTGTCTAGCTTTCTCCTCTTGGTGGCCTTGGAAGAGTTAAAGATTTATTTTCCACGGGAAGAACAGACTAAAACAAACAGCAGTGACAGTAATTGCTCTGGCTTGTTTTATTTTTGTTGTCAGTGATGGGTTTTTTTATGCCATCACTTTCATCAGCACTTAATTGCTGGCATGGAGCCTCAGCTGCTGAATTACCTGTCTCATTGCGATGCGGAGGGCTGCCCTATCATTTGCCTTCTGAAGAAGCTGTGGCCGTTCCAGAATTAAGGCTGTGTTGTTTATCGCTTAACACAGGCAGTAAGCTTCTCCATCTTGTGTTAAATAAAACACCATGTTGTCCTTCAAACAGCTGAGCACACTGAGGAGAGGGAGGGCTGCCGATAGCGGGGAGCCTGCTGGCCCCAGAGCTGGCAAGAAGAGTTTCTGAAGTGGCAGTTCAGAAGGACTGGAGAGGGTTTGTTGCAACTGTGAACGCTGCCAGCTGAACTGAAAGGAGGTAGGAGCAGGAAAGATCCACCTACCAGCCCGGTGGGCAAGGGGAGGGTGGTGTGGAAAGCTCTGCTTTTGCTTTAAATAGAAATCGCCATACAGAAGAGGCCTAGGTCAATGTTCTGGCCACAGCTTGCTTCTGCCATGGCTCACAGGATCTCTCACGGGACTTTTCACCAAAGGCTCTGTGTGTACGTGGCCTGAGATCTTACCCTCTGTACCTAAAGGGCTTCGTACAGCCGAGTGTCGCTGCAGAAGCCGGGTGTTCAGGCGGGCTCTGCGTGGGTAAAGCAGGGAAGGGGTAGGTCTGGCAGGACGCTCGCTCCATGCCTCTCGTTTTAACAGGTTCAGATGTCTCTGAGTTTTTTCTCCTTCCCATCCGCTTTAGCTTCAGGTTCATGACACCCCGGTGGTGCAATTTACCCAGAGCTTGTGGACAGAGAGCTAACAGGGACAGGTAGAGGAGACTTTGTGAGCATATATTGTGGACAGACAGAGAGCTAATAATAATAAACATGGAGCTGTTGGAGTGGGTCCAAAAATGATCTGAGGGCTGGAGCACCTCTCCTATGAAGAACGGCTGAGAGAGGAAAGGCTGTTCAGCCTGGAGAAGAGACAGCTGCGGGGAGACCTTACAGCAGCCTGCCAGTACCGGAAGGGGGGCTATAGGAAATATGGGGAAATATTTCCAGCAGGGCTTGTTGCGATAGGACAAGGAGTAATGGTTTTAAACTAACAGAGGGTAGATTTAGACTGGATATAAGGAAGAAATTTTTTACGGTGAGGGTGGTAAAACACCGGCACAGGCTGCCCAGAGAGGTGGTGGAGGCCCTGTCCCTGGAAACATTCCAGGCCAGGTCGGATGGGGCTCTGAGCAACCTGGTCTGGTTGAAGATGTCCCTGCTCACTGCAGGGGGGTTGAGCTAGATGACCTCTAAAGGTCCCTTCCAACCCAAAGCATTCTATGATTCTAATAGGAATTTTATCCAAGTATATTTTCTGCTGGCCTGCTTCAAACCAGGGACTTGCACCAGTCTATTGAGATTTTGATGAATGCACTAGTCACTCACTGTTTGCTCTTCAAGTATAGTAATTCCTTAGTTATTCCTTTCTGTGTGGATTAAGGCTGCTTGGTTCACTCAATTTGTTGTCTCTGTGGCAAGTTTGCAGCATAGGGAAGGGAGAAACTGCCCCCCACTCACCCAGCCTGAAGGTCTGGTCAGCATCTAATCTGCCTGCCCTGGGTGCCCTCCTGTGAACATAAAGCCACAAAGCGGTGAGTTTGGTAAATGCCCCATTATCCTCAGGACATGAAATTATATAGTCAAGACGTTACTAGGGTACACGCAGCTTTGTGGTGCTCCTGGATCAGTTCACATCCACCGTCTGTAGATTCTAGAGCAGGAACCCTCAAGGTCTAGCTCCTGACTTCAGATCGAGCATCTCATTTTCTGCTTAGTTTCCACTTAAAGGTTTTCTCCTGCTGCACTGAACTTGCCAGCAGCGTTGGGAGATGCAAAACACAGATCATCTAGAAGATTGTGTTTTGTCTGACAAGGTTAAAAAAAAAAAAAGAGGTATTATAATCTAACTGCTGTGGTGGCAATGTCTTAGCAAGAGCGGAGTGCCAAACTGTCAAAAGAAGCCCCCATCCACACCCCGGTGAAGGTGTGAGGCTGTACCCCAGCAAACTGGCTGGTTGCTGCTGGGATGGAAAATATTTCAGTAGTTTGCTTTGAAAATGCGCAGAGAGATGTTAACATTTAACCGGGGAAGATGTGCAGTATCTGCCGTAACCAACAAAGGTGCTCCCGCAGATGAGTCAAACGTGACATTTCATCTGTGCTTCACAATTCTGTGAGGAAACAACCGCGGCAAGCGCCGTCCACCTCTCACGTGGGAACCACACAAACCCCGCAGGGGCCGTTTCCGACATGTGCTCTCGAAATAGAGCTTACAGCAACTTCAGCCGGGGCGTGGGCACTCCACTGAGAACTGAATTTCACGCTTTAAGGTTAAATCTGGGTTAGCATGACACCGTTCATGTCTTTTGGTAAACCTGGTTGCACTCTCTGCTGGTGTTGGGCTCAGACTTAGAGCACCTGGGATGTGAATCAGTTGACGCGTTGGTCTTCTGGTCCCCAGCATGGATGAGAACATAGGGCCAAGTTGCTTTGATTCTGCTGTTCCACTTCATGGCTGGGGCAGGGCCGGGGCTTGGGAGTGGGGTGTACAGGGCAGAAGGGGGACAGTGTGGCAGCTTCTTGACTACTAGGACAAGTTAAGAAAAATATATTTTTTCTTGTGTATACAGTTATAATTTCTGATTTATTCTGGAGACTTACTGCTAAGTACAACCCTCAGTATAAATGAAAACTTTCCTGTTGTGTTTAAAAAAACAGTCATATCTACGTCCCTGGAAGGCAAAGCTCAATGCTGGTATGATAACACGCAGACAGGTTGAACCAGTTTGGTGCAGCTGAACTTCTGAACCAGGGCTGGATCACATCCCATCACTTTCAAGTGTAGAAGGAGGTAGCCACATGACTTTCCCCACTAGACCACATAAAAACGCCCTCAAAGACAGTGTCTGGAGCCTGCTTAGACCTCGGGGGCTGAACATGACAGAGGAGCTGTTTCCAGAAGCAGTAGCCGGGTGACAAGGCAGAGAGGAAAACCTATAGCCATGGTACAGCGATGGGAACGGTGGGGACAACCGGAGGGCAGGGAAGTTTCAAGGATCTTTAATGCTACTCTCCAGAAAATCTTCAGCACTTGTATCTGATGGGCAAGAGGGAGATGAATGACTACGGCTTTGATGCACAGCGCTGATCCCTCCTGGCAAATCTCAGTAGAGCCAACAAGAGCGCTTTGTGTGTACTTGCCTAAAATCAACTTTTCTGAATATGTCCAGAGCGTAAGTGGTGGAGAAGAGGCTGACTCCAGGAACTGGCACCTGGAGATGCCTCAGTCGGGTCCTCCCTCACCACGCACCAGCCCTGTCCCACCTGCGAATAGTTTGCATTGCCATGGC